TGGGCAACACGCTACGGTGTATTTCTGCAGGATGATATTTTCTAAGCTATAGTCCATTGCGTAATGACCCGCAAACGGGCAATTACAACCGTATTTTCGGGCGGGAATTCTTAAAACAATTAACGTTACGTATCAATGTCATCAATTTGTCAAAATAAAATGTTTTAAACATATAAAACTAAATAAAATAAAACCTTGAAATATAAACAAGGAAAGTAAACAAAATATTGCTAAATTATATTTTAGATTGATTTTATGATCCATGTTAGAACTGGCCTATGGAAAATCTGACCGTAGCATATGCTACAGTTGCAACGGTCTAAATCCGCCCCTGTGGCAGATAAGTAAATACAAACTATACTTTAGTTTTTGTTAGTCATGTCTGAACTAAATGAACGTAAATCCCTCCTCAGGGAATTGCCATTTTATACAGGGTGTATCAAAAAAAAAGGAGACCTTAAGAAATCAAGCATATTGTTAAAATTTGAATGCCTTTTCAGTTGCACATATGCTGAACCGTAGTGCGTGAAATATTGATGGGGTGCATATATTAGAAAAAGGAGACCTTTAGAAATTGAAATAACATTTAAACAAAAGATTGTCTGCTCCTGGGAACAATCTGTCATGCATACTGTATACGTAGATCGCATGTTACGCACTCGTGGGCTTAGCAAACTGCTCAAGGATTCAAATTATAACAATGGTTGATTTCTAAAGGTCTCCTTTTTCTAATATATGCACTCCATCAATATTTCACGCACCACGGTTCAGCATATGTGCAATTAAAAAGGCATTCAAATTTTAACAATATGCTTGATTTCTAAAGGTCTCCTTTTTTTGATACACCATTTCAATTTCAATTTTCAGATATGAAGACTATCAAAAATATTCCGTTTCAGGCCCTCTGCTGGATCTATTGCTGGTCACAAAGTATAAAACCGGGAAAGGAGAGAAACAGCCGTTGCAAATAATGTTGGGTTGCCTGGTCAAGAAGATAGTCCAAGAAAGTGGCAAAGCAATAACCCTCGAGACCAGCAAGGGGGAATTTACCCTTGGAGATGCTAAGCTAATTCTGGCTATGGGTACTCTTCCTCCTACTACGCTCATGCTCAATTCTTTCCCGTCCACTTCTTTTTCGATGCTAAGTGGCATTGGAAACCGGTTTACTTCTCACTTCATCAGTTCCATCATCGCGCGTATTCCATTAACTGACGACATAGCTGGCACCAGCAACTGGTATTCCTCTCTTAGAGAGCTCCTTAAAGTAAAACTTGAAATGGCTGCTGTGTACATAGCCGGTGAAAATCCCGTTTCAAAGCACCAGTTCCACATTCAGTTAACTGCCATCATAGATGAGACACCAGAGGAGAATATTTATGGCATTATGCGCTATCTTCCGGATGTATTTGCCGCACCATCGTTGGAACAACGGCGAACCTCCAAGGACCCGCTACATATTGTTTTTGCCTGCGCTTGCCTTGGTCAGCTTGATCACAACAACGAAGATAATTGGTTTCGTCTCAACAATGATGCAGATATCACCAGCAACGCTACTCTGCAGGTCGTGGCCAACGACAAAGACAACGCTCTTTGGAATACCATGGACGAGTCTACTTTTGAAATTCTCGAGAATTTCTTGGATTCTGGTGATCAGCTGGAGTACTGGCATTTTAATACTTGGAAGACCGGGCGTCCTACTGCTGAGCTGATTCGTGTTCCGAGTCTGGTCCATGATGCATCAACTATGTGGATAGGTGACGACGAGTCAGCCCCTGTGGGTCTGGATTATCGATTCCGTGGTGTCGACAATGTGTATCTCACTGGTGGTGCCCTCTGGCCTACTGGTGCTTCCTGGAATCCAACCTGCGCCATGTCTGCATTGGCTATGCATCTAGCTGACGAACTCGATAAGAACGTGGAATAACTGTAATTATTATATATTCAAAGGCTATTCTCGTTCGTGATTGGTCAAAACACGTCGGATAATTCTCGGTGTGTGTGTAACCACTTTGGTTACATTTTCATGTCACGCAGTCACGAAATATGATTGGTTAATGGTTAGGAGGTTAGGGATTGGATTAGGTTTCGTGATTGCGTGACGTGAAAAGATAACCCGATTTTAGCCCTCGCTAAGTCACAGTGGCCCAGGCTCTGTGTGGGTTTTTATTTATTTTGTATTTTATTATATTTTGCCTAACATTTACTTTAATTAAATTATAAAGTATAACTTACTTACTTTCCTTTATGTATTCTAGGTGTTTTAGGAGTGATTTTAGTTTGATATAATGATATAAAGACATCATGAGAATGCGATTTAACATACACTTTATAATATATTGTAAAATACTGTAAAAAAGAGCCTAAATATGCATTGATTAAAAATATTGGTGGACTTACTTGTTTACTGTGTCATTTGTGTCATTTACTTCACTTTCGTTGATTTTCAGGCCATTGGTTGAACCCGGCCTATATTGTATATCATCTAATATTACCACCCGCTATCAAGAACGCAAAGGTAGGCTGTATCGCCGGGCGAACTTGGGCAAGACCTAAATTTCAACAAAACTTGCCGATAAAATATTGCCAAACGCTTCTAAAGCCGCCGCTATACATATTTATGTTTGTTCTATTTTTCCAATTTGTAAAATCATTTCCCTCGCTTTTCCTTGAAGAATTAAAACAACTTAATGTAAATTAAAGAACTTTCTCCGAACTCGTGAGTCGATCTGGTCTGGAACCAAACCGTTAAAAATTTGAATTTTTCGGACTTCGTAACCGCACCTTTCGTTAAAATATCTCCTCAACTCTCCTGATATAATCACGGGTAATTAACAGATCAGGAGGGTTGAGGAAAAATATTTTAACGAGAGGTGCGTTACGAAGTTCGAAAAATTCAAATTTTGCGGAATGCCAACTATTTACACACCAACCCATTGACATTGTCAAATCTGGGCTGCAAAAAATAACCTTTCCCAGCCAATGATATCAGCTCCCAGACTTTTTAACCACTTTGACTTAACCGTTTCATTTTGTTACAAGATAAATACAATTAATATAATACATCTGCAATCCCATTTTCTGATGAACATATACAAACAGCGGTATGTTTCGCAACACGACTTATTCACTAATTAAACTTTCATTGCAGACTAGTGATTTGATATTTTCTCCTTGGATTCATGGTTTAATTTCAAATTTTAAAATACTGTAACTTTTGACCGAAACGGGTTTTTTCACTCTATGTCGGCAAAATACCATTTCTAAAGGTGCATTGAATTAATTTTGGTCAACTCCTAAGAGTGGATTAATTTTGGTTCAGGATCCTAGAATTGGAACGAATATGCTTTAACAGCCCCCAGTGTCATCATGTCACCAAAGTAAAGCAATAGAAGTTGTTTAACCTCCTAATAATGTAGTAAAGATATGAGGTTAGAACTTGAAAATTGAAAGTTTCACTACAGTATGTAGATTTTTGTTATAATCGACTCCCAAAGGTCGTTGAATGTGGCTAACGTAAATCAAGAGCCCAGACATGTTGTGGCCATCCTGTTCTACTGTGTCTGCACTTTCGATCTTGTTTCTTCTCTTTCTTTTCCTACACAAATATCAAGTTTACAAAAAATGAATGAGAAGATATTAAAAGTTGAAATATTAAGTACTGTTTAATAAATAAGCAGGAGTGTTTTATTGTATTAGGTTCAAAGCCACGAGGGCGCAGCGCGAGTGGCTTTAGACCTAATAAAACACGACCTGCGAGTTTATTAAACGGCTTCAAACACGACTACAAATGCAATAGATATACTGCCTTATTAGTATTCTTTATATAAAGAATACTCATGAGGACACGACTACAATATATTACTGCCTTATTAGTATTCTTTATATAAAGAATACTAATTAAGAGTGTTTTTCAGGTTTAAAGCCACTGCACGTGACATATGATGGTTGACATGATTTGCCAATAAGCTTATGAATTATTAATGAGTGTTTGAAGTAGTATTTAAACTCCTTCCTTCACCATCAGTGAGATACACTCCTCGTGTTTTGAATAGCTTAAAATACGACCACAAAAGAATACTAATTAGGATGAATAATTATATAATCATACTAATTAGGATATGAACAATTATATAAAGAATACTAATGAAGATGAGTTTTATCAGATATAAAGTCACTCCACGTGACATGTTATGGCTGACATGATTTGCCACAAGGTTTATGGATTTTTAATGAGTATTTTAAAGTCATTAAGACTTACTCCAATTAAGTCTCGTTCGAATTTATAAATTAGGGACCAGACATCTACCACAAGACTTATAAACCTTCATTTCTAAAATAGAATTAAAACACCTCGCAAATCTTCCGTATCAATTCAAATATAATGGGAAAATCGACGAACTTGTTTGTTTCAGCAGTGAAGCCGACCATCAAATTATATGCATTACCGAGACTTGGCTAGATGAATCTGTCCCCAGCGATCCGTAAGTTTACCTAACTATGATATTATTAGAGCTGACCGAAGCAGGGCATTTTTTTTAAAACTATACAGTATAACTGGGGGGGGCAAAGCTCCCCCAGCCCCCATGGTGTGCCCCCCCCCACTCAACCATTTTGCCCACCCCCAGTCAAAGTCCCTTTTCTCTAAAATATAAGCAAAACATGAGGTTTGATATTCTAAAGGGAGGTTTGATATTCTAGTAACTGAAATTTTTGCTTTGTGAATTTTATGTCCTGTATTTTATTTTTAATGCTAAACATTGTGTTGTAAATACCTTATTAGATTTTAAAAATTTTCCAGTGGATTGCATTTCCTAGACCCTATATATTTGAGTTGTTGGAAGGCTCGGCTAAACAAGTTAGTGACTGCAGAGCGCAACGGGCCCCCAACCCAGTGTTTTATGGGGGGGGGGGGATAATTTTGGCCCCCCCACAAAACAAAATTGATTTCGAAACTAGAAGTATTTGAAATCGTATATATATATATAATCAAATATCGGTAATCGATATTTTGATAACATTTCTCGTAATAATCCATCCTGACTCGCGGATAGCATAGACTCACAAATCATAATGAACGAATTAATGGAAGGGCCTAACAAAAGAGGTAGAGAAGATTTTGAAAATGCCATTTCTGACGATTTAGAGACGTAAAATTTTCAAAATTTTCCCGCTCTGTGCCAACCATGGTGGCGCTTCGTGGGAGTCAGTCCTCTAAGTTTATCAAGCTGGTTCCACACTCGGTACAGTATGGTCCCTTTTTGTAGATGCCTCCCCACTGACGAATTCTTAAAAAATGCCCTGGACCGAAGTGGTAGAAAAGGAGGAGGTGTAGCTATATATGTACATGAAACTTTGCCGTACCGAACTCGTGATCATAGTGATTTAACAAATGAGAGTATACAGTGTGTATGGATAACTTGCCAGCCAAAGAAACTTCCGGGGTCAATTTCACGCCTGGTTATCGCATGCATTTATTTGCCACCGGATTTATTACATGATAACATCGAGAAAGCCGCTTATGATTATCTATCGGAATCATATGATAAACTTATAACTGAAAGTCCTGATTCTGCATTTATCATCACTGGTGATTTTAACCCAAGGGGCAACGGCTTTGACCCCAAAACGTTTTCCATTCATTGTAACTTAAAGCAAATAGTCCATTCGCCAACAAGAAAAGAAGTTACGCTTGACTTAATTTTCACAAATATAAAGGATTATTATTCGAAACCAGTAATCTCTGCTACCCTGGGTACTAGTGATCATTCTTGCGTAAAATTAAAGTTCTCGGCTGGGAAATGGGAATCATGTAAACTCAATCTCGAAACGAAAGTGCAAAGTCCGCCCAGCAAAAGAATCTAATTTGACATTATTCAGAAGTCGCCTTTCAAACTATGACTGGAATAATGTTCTCTCCATCCAATCACTTGGTGAAAAAGTTGATCAATTTACAACAGCATGAGCTCCACCTTTGAATTTACTATATGAGTAAATTCTTAAACACGTCCGAATTTATCATTATGATAAATTCGCGGCACATTTTGAATTTATCATAATAATAAATTCGCGGCACCTAATACTAATACTAATACTAACCCTAACCCTAACCCAACCCTAACCACTAACCCCTAACCCTAACTTTTTAAACTTTTTAATTTTTTTAAACTTTTTTAAAAATCCAACTTTTTAAACTTTTTTTGCTTTTTAAAACTCTTTTAAAACTTTTTTAAAAACTATTTTTTTGAAAATCTTGAAAAAAAGATTTGGAAAGCATATGATATCTGCCCCATCCCGAAGATTGTCCCATTGCCGTCTGTAGAAGCTTTATACGCCCAATTGCCCTCACAAGTATTTTTTCTAAGATCCAAGAGTTGTTTGTAGTTGAATGGATGATGGAAGACATTTCTTCTAACATATCCCGCAGCACAATATGGTGGTCTCCTGGGCTCATCTACAATCCTGGCTCTATTAAATTTACTACACAACTGGTATCAAGCTCTGGAGAAACCGAGGACCGTAATTAGGGTACTATTTTTGGATTTTAGTAAAACATTCGACTTGATAAACCAGATAACTAAATTAGGAAACGTGACCTCAAACTTAGAAGATGTTAACGGGGCATACCCCAAGGTAGTAAAATTGGCCCACTTGCATTCGTTAGCTTAGAACAAGCTTGTTTGGAAAACGACAGTAATATGGTAGTCATCTATATGGACGACACCACCTTTATATCAGAAATTTTGGACGTGTCACAGCATGGTTCGGGTGACCAGATAGGCAATATGCAGGAACAGTTAATCTTGGTGATGGAATGGTCGAAAGACCAAGACATGATTTTGAACAGTAAAAAGTGCAAAGAAATGATTATAGACTTCAGAAAAACGAAGACAGAAATTCCTGAACTATAAGCGGAACAGTCTCCAATAAGTCGTGTTAGCTCCTACAAATTACTGGGTGTGTGGATCGATAATAATCTGAAATGGGAGACTAACACTTGGGCTTTGATTAAAAAGGACCGGAAAAGACTACTTTTTAAAAATCTTAAAGAATTATGGTGCCCTCACCAAGAACCTGTTGGCATTTTATAATTCAATAATCAGGCAGGTTTCAGAATATGGTGATGTTTTATGGTCTGGGGGTCTAACTGCTAAACAACAATGCAATATCGAAAGGATTCAAAAAGAGCATTTCGTATAATATATCCAGGACAAGATTACGAACAGGTATTGAAAGCGAACAAGTTGATAATATTGGAACAACGAAGAAAAGACCACTGTTTCAAATTAATATCAGATATGACCGAACAAGTCTTCAAGAAGATCATATAAGCTTAATCATTTGCTTCCTCCAAAAAGATCTGAGGTGACGGAAGAAACACTAGAGGGAACAAAAATTGTTGATACAACTTTTTAGTAGAACTAATAGATTTAAAAATAGCCCGCTTTCACATGCTATTAACTTTTTTAATACTATGAACAACAATTAGGATAGTAAATAATTGTAATTAAATTAAGTTGTAAACTACATAGTAATTTAACTTATGTTATTGTATGTAGTTATAAATCCAGTAATAATAATAAATATAAGCGAAACATTTGGACCCTCCTGTAACAGGAGTAGTTTAGTAGAATTTTAACATAGGGTTAATGCTAATAGAGCTTTGGACGACTGGCCCCAGGGATCCAAGCGTAAAATCCTTGGGTACGAGGTTGCGTCCACTCTCGTTGGGGAAGAGCCTAGGAACGAGGTTGCTGGTAGTTGCTAATAAATGTTTCGTACCCCCTTAATATGTGGTTAAATATTTCTGTTGTGCTCCGTCAAATCAATAGCCATGATTTTTATGCCCATCAAAATATACAACCCTACCGGGGTCGTAGGTGATGCTCTGTGGGACTGGGACTAACCTGTCAAATTTGACAAAGATTGTAAATAAAATAAATAAATTAAAATAAGTCAACAGTGAATGACTGGGTGGCATGGAGAATAGTGGCATGAACTCTGTTCCATCCGTCCCTTGTAAACGCACAAGGAGAAGTCGTGCAAATTTGAGTACGGTTCTGGTCTGAATTCATTCCGTCCCGAGTGAACGGAGCCAGAAACAAACTGAAATTTTTTATTTTAATCGAGGATTACTGCCAATAACAGATTCGACCGGCTGGCCGCCCTGCAGGTGTTTAATCTTTTACAGGCATTTAACTGCGATATGAAGTAAAATGTTGCTGGTCTAGCTTGTTACGCAATTCAATACAACTAAGACGAACTTTCTGATTTCTGTGTTATAGAACATATTATTGTCGTCATCGTCGATTATTATATATATATTTGATAGCGTCGTAACGCCGGATGTACCTGCATAAAAATATCGCATTTGTGCAATTCACAAATCTTTTTTCATTTAATTTTGAACAAATCCCTTGAACAAACATCTTTATCGTATCTGCAGCCGATAATCGTAGCTATTTTTATCCTGTAAAACGGAAATGCTGATATGTAAGTAACATTTAACGATAGCGCTCTTGTGAAAAGCTATGCAGCTTAATTGATTTAATGTACTCCAGAGAACAGTTTATCTCAACTTTTCAAAGACCAAAATTAAAACGTTTGCCAAATATTGCTAAAATTAAATGATAACAAGCCAAACTGGATTTACTATAATCTAGACTACAAATACAATGTTCGCTAGACAGAACTTGGCGTATTTACCATTTCAAGTCACGGTACCCTCCCCACACACACTACGTTAAAAGAGAGTACTGTACAACGGTCGACAATCGATGTTGCGCACAATGACATTATGCACTTGTCACTGGGAACCCCTGGGAACCGCATTTCAAAATGGCGAATTCCGAAGGTCAACTTGAAGGCTTTTATTGTTATGTAAATGCATTTATATGTTGCCTCTTTGTTGCCTCTTTTAAAAATAACAATGTTCATATAAAAATGAATCAAGAGAACGTTTTTCTTCAACTGTTTTAAAACAAAAATTAAACGACCAAACTTTTACACATGCAAATGATAGTTTGAGATATAAATACCAGAGTATTTATATCTCAAACTATCATTTGCATGTGTAAAAGTTTGGTCGTTTAATTTTTGTTTTAAAACAGTTGAAGAAAAACGTTCTCTTGATTCATTTTTATATGAACATTGTTATTTTTAAGATTTGTTGTCAATAATAAAATGCTATTGAATATTATGCTATTGAGAAGTGCTCAGTAGGGGTTTAGACGGGGTTAGACTTTATGTTGGTCCCCATGTTATGGGGCATTTTTGCAGATATTTTCGCTTAGAGTCAATGCTCCATGTATGCCCGGGGTGGGTGGGGGGGGGGGTGGGCTTCCCAGTGACAAGTGCATTATAGAACCACGGCAACCACCGAAATGAATCAGTCGGGATTTCAGTACCGAAAGTAATTGCATTAAAAAATTGAAGATTATACGCTCAGATTCTAAATGTGTGGGATGATCGAACGAGATGTCTCGAAATACATCCATTCATCATGAGCTGGAAATAAGCGCAATTAACTATCCACTATCCACACACTTTATTTGTAATATACCAATACTATTATAGTTTGGAAAAAGGTAGTTTTTGTTTATCAGCGCAGCTCATTACCCAAGTATAATAAGATTTTCTAAAGGAAATGCCAAAAAGTATAACTAAATGTGATTATAGGAGAAGCACAAGGTCAAGAGAGCATTTAATTTCCTGCAGACAAGGTGACAATTAGCAATAGTCCTATGCGACGAGTTACCCTGCAAATATATATGCATTCAGCTAAATTGTCAACTTGAATGACATAATGCGTCCAGAGATTTGGATTGATATTAATTTCAATAAATGATGGCATTTTTAGTTGATTGAACAGGATTTCACAAAATCGTGGCATTCTGACCGACCAAGATGTTAGTCTAAAGCTCCGTCTAAAGAATCCTAAATAATCTTGTGCAGTGACTTTTAAAAAGATGATTTTTCGCGGCCATAGACGATTTGTTTGGTTTGTGTGGGAAATGTGAACTAGACATGGCATTTCCTGTGTTTGAGGGGAAGATTTGACGGGTAGAAACTATATCATTTTTGTTCATTTTACATTTCAGACAACGAAGAATCTCATAAAATTCTTCGATCCCACTCACATCTATTTGCGGGGGGCTTAGCCCGGCTATGGCCCCAAGGACCGCGGTTAGGGACCCTACGTCATATTTACCTCGTGGACAGGCGCCTGCTTAATAATGGTGTGATAACAGTATCATTGGCGATGGACATGAATTAACAACATTGAAATCTCAAATGGCAGAAAACTTTAAAATGTTCCTTAATTTCAGTGCCGTAAGGTGTCTACCTCGGAATCTAAATCTAATGTCTCCTGATTTTTTAGTGGAACGCCATTTTTACTGGATTTGCCACCATAAACAATTAAGAAACTGAAACATTCCATAACAAACAGGTTGTGGCAACCTACAGCAATAACTGTAGCTAGTTTGTCATATTTGCAAATTCTTCACACCTTTTTCTATCTCGAATTTGGACATTATCAACATAGTTTATAGTTTATATTCGCGGTTATTAATTTTAGCAAATAACAGAGGAGCTACCATTCCCATATCATTGATTTAAAGGGAATGGAAAGAAAACTTCCGCAGTTCCATCTGTTTGCATCAGAACACGATTAACCGTGATCAGAACCATGCTGTATTTGGTCCCAGGATGTAAACAGGCGCAAACCACGATATTATCAGCGAAGATATTCGTTATTAAAATTGAGTGAACTTGGCTAGATTTATCGTGTTGAAATGCCAAGAGGCAAGACAAAAAACGTCAAATTTGTTCTGAGTTGGATTTTCGCCTAGGTTTCGTCCGGTTATTAATAGTTTCATTAAAGCCACACAAAGTTATCCTGAATACACAAATCCTGCCAACAGTGTGCGTACATCATTATGAAATATGAAAATATAAATTATAAAACCTAAAATGAACATGTTCCTTTAGGCTTTAACAAAAGTTTACATCAGAGCGGTTAATTTGTGACTCGTCTTTAGATAATTTATTCTTTAGTTTTATTAACGTGCATGCTTTATTAGCGAGCTTAAGCATGTAGGACGGCAACACGACGACGACGGGCAAAACAAATTCCTTCAAATAAATGATAGTAAAGAAACCTTGTCGTATATTATAATTCGTAAGAAGTTAATACAGTAAAGTAGTTGAAAACATTGGCTTTATGTTTGGGAAGAGTTCTACTGAACCGAATTTTAGGTTGCACTTGTTACGGCTTGAAATGCAGGCGTTATATAAAAGACGTGAAAATCTGTGATTTGCCGTTGTCAACAGGGCGACGACCACGTCTGAAACTCCCCCAGGACTTTAATTATTTATTTCTTTTCAATTGACTCATTGTATTGGTTGCCGTCGTCGTCGTGTTGCCGTCCTACATGCTTAAACTCCCTATTGTTATACCGCCGCCGCCGCCGAGTGTCCCAATCACAAAACCCATTTATTACATATAGCCTGATATAGTTGATGGTGGCAACCATTAGGCTATTAAAGCAACTCATGGCTTCGTTCAAATGGCAAGGACTGGTAAAAAAGTTAAAATCTCTTCAACCTCTTCAATGATTGTAGAAACCTTAAAACCAGTCATTTTCCTGCTGATAAATTTGTGAAACAAAAAAGCTCGCAGCACTTATTTCCATATAAACAAGAGTAAATTAGTCACCGACTCGCAAATGCATACACATAGTCAAATAATTAAACTTCAATACATGCACTGATCACATGCACGAGTATAATATATAATGAAACCTATATACCATGCACGATGTTTTCTGGTTCCAGTCCGTATACATACATACTTACAGGTAATGGAGAATTGTTCATGTTTTTATTTTACTGGGTTTTTTTTATCATAAATAAAAGTCAGATCTGAAACCTTAAAGAAATTTATTGTGTCTTAAATTCAAATAAACGAGTTTTTTGCAAGCAAAGGAGACTTCACTGTTTTCAAAGTCCTTATTAAGAAGAGTTGCTCGATTAATATGCGCAACTATACTATATTTTATAGGTCGCTTCTCGTGTTTCGTCTTGGTTATAAAATAGAAAATACCCAGAAAGATGCACTGTTCGAGTCCGACGTGTCGATGCAAGGCACTTGTTAATCAAGGTATTTGTTAATCAGTTAGCAAAAGGCCAATTCTGTTTTCCACTGGCGAATTTCTTCGCGCGAAGCGAATTTTCTATTGTTTAAATTGAAAAGAATCGATTAAAAATCTAATTAGTTCCAGCCGAGAGCTCATAATACAAAAGATTCGCGCGAACAAATTCGCTAGTGGAAAACAGGCTTAAGGAAAACCTATGAGTAAATCTCGTAAGCCAATTCCAATATGTGCAACTTTGCCAACTTTACCTGATATCTATATTCACGGAACAGTATACAAATACATACATACATCTTACGAAATAACACTATATCATATAGACCTGTAAGTATGGCTGTAGCTTATACCTAGTGGGCAACACTGAAAATTCCCTATAGGCTAGTATTAAAAGGCCTCATATACTCAGACTGCGCTCAAATTTTGCAATTTCGCGAAATCCTTATACTTCTTTATTCGCGCTTGGACTACCTATTTATATTAGGGGGAACTGAACGTGGGAGTTTTGAGATAAGTTGACTGAGCTTGTTTATTGAAAACTGCAAGGATTTTACTCGAGGGAATGTTGGCCATGGCTAATCAGACCAGTGGCAGTGATCATAAGTAGATGATAGTCGAAAAGCTGATATAAAGAAGATCAACGAATAAAAATGAATGATATTTTCATGGATGTTATCGCTATACATTTTAGGCCGAAACTGTTCCATGCTCAATTATACTAAGAATGAACACATCGTATAATATAACACACTTACGCTTTTAACGACCTTCTTCCGTTTTATCACATTGTGATCGTTTTTGCTTGCAATTTCGTAAGCTATGATTCTCGCTCTGTATAAGTCGTCTTCTTCAGCGTCCAGCATCTCTGTCAAATACTGAATATAACTAATAGCCAAACGCAAAGTTTTTATTTTTGAAAGCTTTGTATCCGTTGGGACGTTTGGAATGCATTTTCGAAGTTCTCCAAACGCCATGTTAATGCAGTGAGTTCGTCGTCTTTCTTTGCCGTTTGAACTGACAGGAGTCTCTTCTTTGTGTTCATTTGAAATGGAACATTTTTGAGTGTTATTCAAAGGCGACTGCATAACAGGAAAATGTTCCGAATCACTGTATCGTAATGTTCCTTGTAAACGATCTTTTCTTCTCATGTGCTTCGCTTGCAATTTGATTGTTTAGACAGAATAGAAAGGAGATTGAGCCAAATGATACGTGCTCTAAAAAGATACTTGATTATGTGGCATCTATCCCTGCACAATATGCTACAATGTATGCATAACCAAAAGCTCTAAATATAAATATCTAAGATGATGTCAGCGCGCTGTTGACTGATAGCGTTATTATGACCTGACTGTTAAATTCACCTTTAAATCTGTTTATCAAATACCGGATGTTGTCAGTTTTCGCGTCTTCGTGTCTTAGCGCAGATGTGTTAAAGAGGATTTTTCATGCAGGCATTCTCAAATTGTTTAGCGGCTTCCAAACGTCTATGAATCTCTCGGGTGTGTCCATATCGTTATTCGATAATTTGAGCACAGCTTGTGAGATAGTTCTAACGGGATATACGAGCACCTGCTATAATTGCGTATAATTGTATAAATGATGGTAAGATGCAAATTCTGTTCTGGACTTACGATTTCCTGGACTCTTATGCTCATTAAGCCCTGGATGTATTAAATATATAGTTCCTGCCGTTTAGTGAGTCAATCTCAATACAACCGACATACCGACTGCATGGATGACATGTACGTCTTCTCCGTTCCGATTAAAGCACTTTTTACCCTTTCTGATATAAATACTTCGAATGATAAAGTGGGGCGTAATCCAAGCAGCAATCTGGAGAACTAGGCTATATCTATATGACATGGCGAAAAGTGTTAGTCATATACTTCAGGGGTCGGTTGAATCACAAACTATAGTTAAAACTACAGTTCAGTGCAAAAATTAACCAATACGAATCACATACTTGAGAGTTAACTACAATTTAACTACAAAATGGATATAAAAGTACTGTTTTAATGTTTTATAAAACGAAGTGGAATGAGGCGTTTTCCACGGTCTTGATTTAGACTACTTTCAAACTGGGATGGACGAATTCCGCTTGTTCACAGGGAAATTAAATACCAGTCATCAAACTTGTGCATTTCCATAATTCCAATACTAACGAATGGGGTGAAATCGTGCAAATCTCTTGAAAAAGCGAGTACGACGCCGAAGCGCCATTAATCCATAGTCTACTGCGAGCGGTGTTTACGAAGTCACTTCTTCTTTACCTGGTCATGCAGTTCATGAATTACCTGGTGTTCAGTTTATGAATCCAGAAGCCTTTCAATTCAGGCTTTGTGTTTTGTGCTATGCGTGTAAAATATTGGCAAGAAAAGAGGTCTGGGAGATAAGCAATTGAGTAATTAACGCCCACCTTGATGCGTTTCCTTTGCTAATGGCCATGAACACGGTCTTTCCTTGCAGTTTCAACAAGGTTAAATTCTTATACTTGTTATTACCATTTATTTGCCAGTGTAAATCACGTCTCCATTCCATTAGGGATGCAGGTTTTTTGCGCAGGCCAATAAACATTTAGTATTCACTAGGGATAAACGGAAATCCATTTTCTGCCCGTATCTTCGCGATGACAGTGTCGTTGTAATTTCTTGTCGAAAGGATTGCGTAGCTGACACGTTGCTTGCTGTTCAAGTGTAAATTTGTGGAATGATACAAAACAGCTGTCGTCAAATGTTGTTCCCTGTTTGTTTAAAGTTGTTAATCTATTTGAACTCACGGCCCATGTATTTGTTTTAATTAACAAATAAATTACTAAATATGTTATAAACTCTAGTCGTGTAGAACATCTGTGCGGCGAACTGAGAAAATTTGAGCTTCTAGAAAACAATTTTACAGTAATATTATGTCACTGTTTATACAGCATGGAACTCTGTCATTGTTTTGCCAAACTAGGATGCAACAAAATAAAGGTAACTGGGAATTAACGTAAATTTTTCTACATGCATGTGCGGGATTGTATTTGTATCATTCTATTTCTTTCAAACTTTGCTTTGTGGTATAATTACCTCGATAATTACAACTGCAGGTAAATGCGAAATTTCAGTAACTGTTTAACTAGTATATTAAAAACAAAAACATTTCAAGTTTTGACCTCTTTTTCATGTTCATCAATAAAACGGATTTATTGTTCGCATTGCAATTTTTGTAAGTGGTTGAAAAATCTCGCGGACAGAATAGCCAGTAAGTGCCAATGACTAACTTACAACTAAAATAGTAAAGATGTAAAACAAAAGTGTTAAAATTGAATTGCGTGCAGCTATTGGCAATCCCACGTTTAGCATTTTTATTCACTGATATCAATTTCTTGAATTAAAAGCTCTGCATGGCTATAAGGCCGGTGTCCCAGGATTTTCGCCCCCCCTACATTTTCGCCCCCCGGGTGGCGAAATTCCTAGGAATATCGCCCCTGGGGGGGGGGGGGCGATATTCCTAGGAGAGCGGGGCGATATTCCTAGGAGATTCGGGGGGCGATATTCCTAGGAGATTCCTAGGAATATCGATATCCTAGAGAATATCCTAGGAATATCGCCCCCCTTTTGAGAGGGGCGAATCTCCTGGGGGGGGGGGCGAATCTCCTGTGACACCGGGACTGAGTGTAGAAGGCTATTAATTAGCCCAACAACGATATCGTTCCGCAATATATCCGCATTTTCTTGATGCGAACACTGGGAATTCACGGCGTTTTTGTATCCATGCATGTTTAATTATAAATGGTTTAATAACAGCAATTCAGTGGTTCCAGATGTACATTTCCATGGCAAGTTCCGATCGCAAATTTTCCCTGTAGGATTAAATAGACATTGACGCGAAGTTACTCATTAAAGCAAATGACACAGGACCGGATGTTGACGTCATAATCCTTTTAAAACAGGAAACATGGTGCCTAATACATGTAGTTCTGTTGATAAGCTTGTAAAAATAATCCAACCAAAATCATATATAACCATATATTATAAATAGAAAGACCAACCATATATTATAAATAGACATTAATATATAGATATTAAATATATAGATATTAAATATATATAGACATTAATATATAGATATTATAAATAGACATTAGTATATGGATATATAGATATTAACCATATATTATAAATAGAAAAAACGTAGCGAATTGGCAAACGAGAACAGTAGTTCCTCTATGTTGAGTATTCAATTTTCAAAGCTTCCTTGACCTTGTTGTTCATGCTTTGACAGAATGAAATTCATTTCAGCTTTACTCACCTCGCTTTTGCGCCGATTAATCACCATCACGTTTCATATTCGGAGTTTGCATTTTATTAAAATAATTGTCCTTAATTGTACCTTAAAATTCTCCTTATGAGTTGTTGTTTAATGATATGAGTTAATTAAAATTCCTTATACTGGCAGGAAAGTTCAAGTATTTTCATATGTGGACTTGCTTTCTTCTTCAGATTTTATGCAATCTTACAGAAATAATAATGTGGCAGAGGGACGCCGGAACGATGTGGGGGCAAGGAGGGCAGATTTTCGTGGTGGGGCACTTAATGGGTTCACAACTTTCGAGTTTTTGCCCTCCCCCAGCTGTCGAAATTGCCTAGACGTCGGGTATGTTATATAGTCGAATTCCTCCTCTTTAAACTAAGAAAACGCCAATTAAAATAATAATGACATTAACTATCAAGGCGTATAATGCGTTTTTAGATTCTATTATTACATTCCAACAAGGCAACAATTAATACACGTGAAAATATCTTTAGAGATTTATTGATTATATTGATTATCAACTGAGACATTTCATAAAATTATAGACCTATTGACACCATGACACATTTGCTAACTAAATTTAAACTATTTAAATCCATTTTCTGGGAGTCATATATCTACAAATGTTTGTACAAGGTTTTCTAGAATTAACTACTATTAATTGGATTTGACTCGTTGCTTACCTCAACTACCCACCCCCCCCCCCCTCCCCAATAACTCGCCGGATTTGAACTTTTCATCAGGAACGGTTTTGAAGACTATTGGGG